GTTATCAGTAGATGTCATGGCAACCACTGTCAAACTGACTGACCTCGTCATTTAACCCCTATCAGTAGATGCCATGGCAACCACCGTTAGGCTGAAATATAAATCATGACACTCCAGCCAGAAATTGTGGCGTCAAACTAGTTGTCGGTTGAATTGTTTTGCAATAGACATAATTTTGGAGCCTGTTTTTGTCTATGAAATGTTTCGTTGAGGATTATTCTGTAAAGAAATTGCTTAAATTATTTCATCTGTTCGTAAACGGGACGTTGTTGCTTTGACGGTGGGCTACGGACGACTGACGTCGAAACGTCCCATTCAGATCGGATGGCGCCCTCTCGTGCCAATCCCCTCCCTGTCTTTAAAAGTAGTACCACTGTGACGCATCAACCAATCAACGACGAGCATAAGACCGAGTAGTGGCAGAGATATATTCGTACAAAATAGAACTCTGTGTGGGAGATTGATCCGTGGTGTGAAGAACATATATAGTTGCTATGCTTGTATATTATTGGTTGCTATAGCGGAGATAACTCGAATGATAATAATAATTATCTTCAAATTCGTAATCGAGTCACGAAAACCTATTTTTTTGTTCTTGTTGGTTGTCAATATTTAGTAACTCCGAACTTTAATTAACAGTTAACCGAACTTCGAGTTATAGGCAGCATAGCATTTTTGTCTCGTTTAACGTTGTATATTTCTCGTAATTCGAAGTTTGGCGGGTGTGATCATTTTTGTAACTCGATGTTTTCGTAACTCGATGTCCGTAGCTCGAACAATTCAGCATCTCACGCTTTGCACATCGCCACTGTTACCGGAGGGGGTGGGTAGCCGGTACAGGCAAAGACATTAGGATGTCTTTGGTACAGGTTACAGAGAATAAAAACGACATTTTACTTTTTTACAGGAAATAAAATGAAAGTTCTATTTACAGTAGAAATTATTTTTTTACACTTTACAGATAAAGCAAATTCCTGAACACATTTTACATTTTTATAGTATCTTTGATAATTTGTGTTTAACAATCAAAATTGGAAATTGCATACGAATTACGAAAATGCTTTATATGCTTACAAAAAAATTAGATTTTTGTACAAATTACGGACGAATAAAATAGCTGATTACATTTTACACCTTGCCCATGTCTACGAATTTACGTTTTTTTTTATTTATTTAAATTACATTATTACGAAAATGAAAAAAACAAAACAATTATTACAGCTTACAAAAATACCCCTTGTCGACCCTCATAAACTAGTAGTAAGTTCCTCTTTTTGCATTGCATTGTGGGCAGTTAAAACAAAGTCTCGTGAAATCTCGTTTCCTTTCTTGAGATATTCGCGATCTACTCGGCCATGTTTGTTTACGTGCTCACTGATTGGCTGGTCTTATTTACTGTAACCGTCCGGGAAATTTGGTTGTCGAACTTGTTCTCGGATCTTTGCTTGTGGTGTCTTCCTTTTTTATTTCGCTATTAGAAGCCCGACTGAGAACATATGTATATCACAACAGCTTTGTGCTGCCTGTCCGACATATTCTAAGAGAAACTATATTTTCAAATGTCGACAACTTATATTATTGCTTTTGCTTTATAGTGGTAAATGATGCCACTTTGAACTTGAGCTCAGCGTCATCGGACGATCGATTACTATAAATCGCCACAGCACTGGGAATTTATAGCTTGGGTAAAAGTTTTAGCTCACAAAGTGGACATTCACCATGCCCACATCAAGCAGAGCGGTAACCGTTGCTCCGTCTAAGCGGATGCCCAGTTCGAGGTAGGTAATTCAAAATATGATAATAGAAACGGGTTATCGTCTGAAATACAATGCTCAGACAATGCGTCAAAGCATTAATTTTATATCGATGATGTTTTTTTATCTCCATGAATCACAGTCCATGGAGCTGAAAAAAAATCCACTGTCACTCGCCAAAATCAAGTCCTAGAAGAGCTTAATAATAAATCCCTTTTCCAATTTATATCATTTTAAGGAGATATGCTCCCTAATCACAACAATTTACAATATACTAGTATCAACATTTCTTTGCAAGTAAAATATATATTGTATTCTAGATTTTAAAATCATAAAATAGTAAAAATAATAACACGAGTTAGTAAGGGCAATATTATGATTATAACACATAATATTTAACACAATTTGATGCAATTATATAATTAATAATGAATGAGTTTGGTAGATAATGCATAATCTACCAAATGAGTACATTATCTGATCAAAATATTAACAACATTTCTATGGCAGCTGAGTTATTTTCAGCTTGTGTTCGTGTATTTCTTTCATTTGAGCAGTGTCTGTTTACGGTAGTTGTCAACAAGACATAGCAATGGAGTTCATGTAAGATTATAGTTACATATAAGAAATACAACTACAACATGTACAATTTTAAAAAATCTTCTTTTTTTTTTTTACATTCTAAGACCTCTACCAAAAAGAACAACATCTAACGCAAGAGCTACCAGAGGTAATTCAGCTAAGGGAGCTTCCACAAGGTAACGTATGGGGGTACTGCTAGTTTTATTCTGTCAGTTTTAAACAAACATAATTCTAAAACCTGTCTTAAACCTTAGATCTTACAGTGAAAACCACCAATATTTTGTCATTGAGATTGGTCTGAATGTTGTAGGATAAAAACAACTCACTGATCATCTACTTTGCTTCAAAATATTCAGTACCTGCAGATTTGTGTCTACAGTCTAGACATATTTACATATGTGTATATATGTTGGTATGAATACATATAAGCTATATTCATAGAAATTGCCAGGGCTTGATCATTTGATGGTGTTCATTATAACTAAAATTCCATGAAAGTCAAAATCAACAGTACATGTAGCTCATGGAAAACTGTCAATTTCTTGTCCATGGGTTAGCATTTTTCAATAGGACAATTTCTAATAATAATAAATTTGTTTCATACACATGTACCAGTTTTATATAAACTTGTGGATGACAATTGTTTGTTTTCACATTTTTGTGCTTGGCTGTAAATACCAACTAAACCTGATGAACTACCCAATGCTGCCATGGTTACTGACTCTTAGACTGGTAACCCAGCTTAGCTTCCATTAAAAAAAAGTTAGCCTTGAAACCCTATACATGTATGTCCCAACAAATTTCTCCCATCACTGTCCCATGTTTTCTCTGCAGTAGAGTGTAAGCTATGATGGATGGCAATGATAGCTTCTGATCTGTTACAGCTATGCTTCCATCATATACAGCATGGAAACATGTATTTGTACAAATTTGAAACAATTGTAATTTAATTTTCCCATTTCTTATTAGGATACCTATACCAGTGAGTGATAACAAGCAAGATGATGACAAAAAAAAAGAGCAGGCTACTCAGAAAATGTCAAAAGTTAGACGCGTACCTGACTTCAATAAACTTCATAAAAACTGGAATACTAAGTTACAAATTGTAAGTACAATCAACCATAATATTACATGTACTTGACTTATCTCGTGCTGCCAAAAGAAAAAACTTAGTGTAAATGTATTATTTCATAGTAAATGTACTCAAAACAACACTGCACGACACTTGCACCGACTCAAAAAACAAATATGAATTAGGGTCATAAACTCCATTTCAGTGCCATTGTCCACTGCTGTAAACTACTTTAATTGCGCAAAGGGACAATTTTTCTTGATTTTTGTGAGTTATAATATTTTTTTATAGCAACGAAATTTTGTTTTCACAAATGACATACCGTAAATCATTATACAGTATGAAAATAGTCTATAGGAAAACTTATTAAGCCATTGTATGTATGCAATGAACAATAATAACAATCCTAATCTGTAAGTGTGTATAAAAGACTAAATAAAAATAGAAGCATAATTATACACATGTACAAAGGAGATAAGTGTACAATTGCATGTCTTTACAATTGTGTTTATCCATTGAGTAATGTGAAATACTCTTTTTCTCTTTAGGGCAAAGCTTGCACCAAGAAGCCGATGACGCAGGTATGTTAAAGTTTGTATTGTCGGCAAAATTGTGTTTGAATCCTTTGACATGTCAAGTAACGTGTTCTTAAATAAATGCCACAGCTACATGTTATGGTATTCAGACAGTATCCACAACGGAAATTTCTTATCCCTAGCCAAATGTTACTGAGCAGTTATGTGAAGTTTTCATCATCCTAGGGTGTCACCAAATCACACATCAAATTCCCTGTTCGACGGTTGAAAATGTTAAATTGCAAAATCAACATTCAATGTTCAGCATTTTCCAGTATTCTGAGAAGTACACTAGACTCTTGAGTTGTTTCCTGTAGAGCCATTAGATTCTTCCTTTTTGATTTTATCATCTTCGCTAGCCAAGGTCTAAGTTTATTTGGCCAAGCCTCTAAACAGACCTTGGCAGAACGACCATCAAATATGCGTATTCTAACAGCGCCCCCAGTAGTCAGTTGCGGCTAATCATTGCCCAATCAGTTTGCGTGTTACAAATCCCAATTTGGCGTTTCATTTTCAACAAAATGGCGGCACCCATGAATCGTGATATTTGTGATGATAAAATTGCGAAAGTTTTCGGTGTAGGTGCCCCCAAGCCTCATCAGGTACAGGCATTCGACACAGTTCTGTGTGGGAAGGATGTCTTCATAGTGACAAAAACAGGAAGTGGAATTTTGTTTTATAATTTGGTACGTCCAAGCTGATTGGGCGCCTTGTTTCGAGGCGCGCCCAATCAGATCTCACTGCTTAAGATACGCAATTAGCCTATGCAATCCTGCACGGTATCGTGTAAATGCCTATAGGTAGAAGACACGGGGCCGTACGATTCGAATGATAGATTTTATGGGCAGACTATTTTACTTGTGTTATCAGAGTCTCAACGAACTTTGAACATCAAACATTATGTACAGTGTACTTCCTAAGTTACCTGTGTTTAGCGCATTCCCAAAGCAGAATTCAAACAGCAATGCATGATGGGAATTATTTAGGTGAAAACAATAAATATCTTAAACGATGGAAGGTGCAATATCTCAGGTTTTGATCAGTATTACTCTCAAACAATGTAACATCAGATATGATTTTTAGCCAAATTACTCCAAAATAAAAGACCTTTCAATTTCAGTTTGCCGACATTACAATTAATATAAGGACAATGTCTATACTGTAATGTTAAGTATGTTTTTCCAAAGAAGTTATTGAATATCAATGTTGAAAAATATAATATTTAAGTGTAATACTCCCTCATTAGTTTTACCTCTATTAAAATTTCAGAAAGTAAAAATGATTTCATTGTTTTTTAGGTACACGAGTTTGATTTGACAAAACCAGGAACCAAGTTTCACCCAGCTGTATGTAGAGATTTGCTAACTGATGAGGGTACTGAGGCTGAAAAAGACGAGGACTTCTTTGAACTGGACCAAGATGCTTTAAATTCCATCGTGGACAGCAGAGCATTGCAAGAGAGGGAAGACAGTAAAAGACCTACTATTGCTACTGACAGGTTAGTTTGTATTTACAATTACAGCAGACCCAACATAGTTACATCCAGTTCCTGGTAGTTTTTGATTTATGCAAACTTCTTAATGTACATGTATTTTGCTACTATGTGGCAGTAATCATTGTACCAGTAATGTACATGTATGTGGCAAGTCCATATCATGAGGGAAAAGTCTATTTTGCCTCATACATGGTAATAACAAAGTTTTTTAAAAAAAGTGCAACATAGACTGTATACATAATTCACAGCAAGTCTCGGAAGTATTGGGGCAGCAAGTAAGGAGAACTTGCTCACTAATTTGCTGTCAAGTTTGTTTTTATCTAAAGCTGTCAAACAATTTTGTATACTGTACTTATCAATCCTGTAAAACCTCATAAAATATTATTTTATAAGAGATATGATAGTATTTGTTGGTGACAGAATGAAATGAATCAAATTTAACGTCACCTGCTTTTGTCAAAACCAAATTAGTTAGCAAATAAGTATGTAAGTTAGCTACCTTGTTGCTCTAATATTTCAGAAGACTTGCTGTTATGGACCATCTTGGTTTGGACAACGATGTGAAATGAAATATACATCACTTTTAAATACCTATAAATTAATACTATAAAATGTGTTCTTTTTCCAAGAAAATATTGGTTGAGTAAATACTTTTTTTTAAACCACAAATTCATGGCACAAATGATTTTGCACAGATAATGAAAACCACCCAATTTAAAGTATTCTGTCTTGCACTGTCACTAAACTTTTTAGTGAATGCAGTTGCACTTGTTCACAGGTATTCAACCTACATGTATTAACACTTCAACTGCTGAAAGCCTCCATAGTCATGGATCGCCAATATCTATTGTAAAAAAAAATCTTACAGGCCATGTGTTTAATAAGGGTGAAGGAAAAATACTTAGCGTGAAATATTTTGTTAGAGAAAAAAATGTACATTTTTGGAACTATTTTCAAAGTAAACAATTATGATAGACGTCATAAACTTTTTAAAATGCATAGAAACCAATGGTAAATAGCTCAAAAATTCTTATAGTTTTAATCATGTTTTGTTTGGTCACCATATATTTTTATTTAGTAAACAGCATGAAAAAACTGATGGAAGTTTAAATATTTCTTTTAATAGTGGCCAAATATCTTGAAAGACTATGGTCTTAATTTGCATTTATATGGGTCCCCATAGCAACATAAACATGTTGCTCAAATAATTGTTTATTTACATAACTTTAAATTGCATGCAATTGTGACAACCACCACCTTTTAATTAATTAATATTTTTAATTTTTGCCAACCCCCACAGGTTCTGTTTAATTAATTTGAATTTACACAAACATTCAACAGCTTCCAGACACATTGAACTTTGATGTGCAAAACTTGTATTTCTAAATATTTGGTACTTCTATATATTTTACTAGTGTAATTTCCTGTCATAGACTTCCAAACCTACCAAACATTGTTTTTAGCTGAAAATCCAATACAGGTGAAATCAATTTCCAATCAGATTTATACAGATGTAATAAACATTTGGGGTGGATATCTCATAACAAATGTGTTGACTTTCACAGGGTTAGAGAAAGGCACAAAGAGTCTGGATTTCCATTTCAAATAAAACCAATATCAGAAGAAAGTCCCACTCGACAGGTACTTGGAAGTCTTTCAGCTGGTACTGTCAATAATAATAATAGGAATATTGAAAAGAAACCTTCTCCAGTTACCAAAGAAATTGTAAAACGCAAAGAAGACCCCATCAAAGCCAATAGAGAAGCGAAGTCACTTGCAGATCAACAGAAAGGTGAGAATTCAAAATTTGTACTGACTGATTGACTGAGTGAGTGTGTGATAGGTGTTTGTGTAGTGGATGTGTAAGTTCAAAAGTTTGTTTTAATCTAATATAAACAATATACCGTACTTCCCAGAGTATAAGCCCAAGGGCCTGAACATAAATAAGGGGTGTGCTTATACTCGAGGATCACCTTAGAAAAGATATTTTTTTGGTGCATTTAAAACTGTAACCATCTTCCTAGCCTCGAAACATTATCCAAATTACATATTTCTTTCACATTGGTTTTGGAAGAATATTACGTCTTTTTGAGAAAACAAAAATTCAAAACGAGCCGTCATTGATTTCAACTACGCTTTTTACAATGAAGAAACAAATATGAACAAAAAACAAAAATTTTATTACAATACGATTCACATACCATCTGAATTTACGTTGCAAAAATGGTTAGGGTAAGTGGGAAAACGGTCGAAAGCAAGATCGTACACAAACTCTTGATACAAAGCTATTTCCGCCATGGTTTCATCATAATTTGACTTGAACAACTTCATTTGACCTAACAGGTCACGTCTTTCGTTAACCAATGAAAATCGAAGTTTTCCAATTATTGACGAAGTATTTTTACCAACGCAATGCGGAAGTGTATTACCGCAATGTTAAAATGCGATCTGTTAACACTGATTTTGACAAAAAACGGTGACTTTCTCCCTAAAAGCTGTTGATTCGCAATTTTCGAAAGGTAAACTGAGGGTGAGGGAAGTATTTAAACCTTTCACAGCCGCCAACAAGTCATGTCGAAGAATAGTTTGCTCGTTCACACCCTATTCACGATAGTCTCAATGGACAAGATTATTCGGAAAAGTAAAAAGGTGATAGTGTCCAGGTTCACGACTTGACGAGCACATTTTTGCTGTTTGGAAAACTACTACTCAAAAGAAATATGGATTATTTCAGTATTGCAACATCAGGGTTCATCCCGAGTAAATAACAGAATGGAAAACGTGCGAACTATGTACGTTCGCCCACCATGCACTTTGAAATTAATGTGAGTTTTCTCGTAAAAACTGGAACCAAACTATTGTACCAATCATGTTTTTATGCAATGAAATAAAATTTTTACATGCATATTTTAATAAATGTCGCCGACGCCCGGTAAAAACACCCTGGGCCTATACTCGGGGAGGGGCTTATACTCAGGGAAGTACGGTAAAGTGTCACGGTTTTTCAGCACTAGATTTTTTTACAAGCGTATACAAAGTTTTTTGTACTGCCACCACCTTTCAAAATTGTATGTACCGGGTACCGTATTTGTCTTCAGTTAAGCGCCACCTTCAACGAGGCGCCAGTATTGGTGTATTTTTCACCCCAAGTAAGCGCCAGACAGAGTTGAAATTTTGGCGCGTAATGATCATGAATGGGCGCTGGCAGATCGACCTCCGGTTATCGGCGATATACGCGATCCCGAAAGTCCCTCACTGCTACTGTGCGGCTTTTATGCAAAAAATTCGGTTTGTTTCTAACAGATTTTAAGAAATCTGTCTATATTCTCTTGAAACACGTCTCTTTTGTCTACTGTAGAAGTAGAAAATATTTGTGTTGTTTCCAATTTCGCGTCCATAAACGCGAAATTAAAACTACGCGAAAATGTTCTGTTTCAAATGTACCGTTTTCACAGTAAACAATGTTAAATTATTCTTCAAATGCTCAGTTTAATTTTCAAAAATAAATAATTTCTTGATTTGAAAAAATCATGCCGTTTTCCCATCAAAATCAAAGCCAAAAGATCACAAACATAGACAAATCTCTTCTGCATTGCGTTCTTACGTTAACATACATTATTTAAATGAGCCATGGTAAATTGATCACGTTGGCATCATCCAGCCCATCAGGTCAAAGAACACAATTCAGGTCGGATATCGTATCGCCTCAAGTGTTGACATGCAACCGGAAACATTCGCTTACGATTAAATTAAATTGAATTAAGTTAAATTTTACTTGCATTTTATTTTTTGTACATGATTATAATCGATACTAAGTAATAATGTTATCTGTGAAACACACCATGACTGGATTTCGCTACCGTGATCATTTGCTACTAAGCAATGCAATGAAAGTGTAACAACAAATTGGCGAAAATTGGCGAAAAATACAGCACATCTAAGTACAATGAAAAATATGTTTTGGTTTTCAGATAGCGGGATTGACTTTGAAAGTGATAATTCTGCTTTAGCAAGTATTCTCAATAATCAAGGTGTGGATTTTTTTAAGCAACGTCCGAAGGCGTTTACACGACAGACTATGGGAAATCTGCCCAGATATGTAAGTATATTTAAAATTAAAAGTTTTCGAAATCAGACCTGGGATAAAATGCATTTTATCGAATATGATGTATTATTGTTATTTTGTTATTTCACTAATGTTCATTTCAGGGCAATAGGAATGCCAAAACTAAATGAGTTTGTCTGGATTCACATTCACTTTTTTAACCCATTATTGCTATTTTGAAAATCTTAAAAAAGTTGATAATATGAGTGATCTTTTGATAGATTATTTAAGAAATTTGAAAAAGTAGAAATAAGTTGTATCGTGTGAGTGGGCATTTTAAATTAATTTTGTTCTTTGTGTTTACTTTAGGTCATATAGCTCATATCATATAACAGAGTATTATAGAGTTAATTTTAGATAAATAATAAAGCTATTTATGCATAACAATAAATACAATAGAGGTGATTAACACATTCTATTGTTATGCTATACTCTATGGTAATTGTCTCAGGAAGAACACTGTCAATTGAACATAAATAAGTGTGAAATATGAGCTGAGATTTGTAGAAATCTTGAAGGCTGCTGTTTATATAATGTTTTCTGTTGCATGGACTGAATCAGACAAATCAAACAATCTTATTACCCTCTCCCCCTCAGGAGAGGCTGTCAGTTTATAACAGAAAATCTCAAAATACTGATAACATCTACAAAGAGTTTTGGGAGCACACATATAAAAGATTGACCATGACTGGATCAAATATATCAACCAAACCAGTGGCAACAGGTGAGGATAATATTTTGTATCACATTGTATTGCAATTTTCTTTTGCAAGATGTAAAGTTCTCTAACAAGCCTAAATTGATAGTCTTTTTTATCCTTAATTCCATTTTCAAATAAGACATAGATAACCATAGAAATTTTTGTTAAGATTAAGGAAAAAGTCATCATATGCTTGACCATATGTACATGGTTGACTGCAAGGCCTTTTTAAGAATTAAAAGCTATTATTTTAACATTGAGACATGAATTTAACATTTGAAAGAATGTAGATGTCACATTTGTTTTGTACCCCCCCCCCCCCAATAGTACTTTCAAAATGATCATCAGTTGCCTGCTATTTGGGGTCTTAAAGAAATCATAAATTCATGCATGAATCAATTATTTTTAATATGTATGGATTATGGGATGTCTGTCTGTCTACAAATACTCAGCACATCTGTTACAAATTGTGACCACTTCTCATTCAAAATCTGTGTAAACTTGGAGGGGTGTCAATACCAAT